GCGCGGGCGGCGGCCGGCCTCGGCCGCGAGACTAGGGAAGGGAAATCGCCTGCAGTGCGATCTGCATGACGACGTCCTTGTGCGCCATCGCGGCGGCCAGTTCAATCTGGCCCGTGAAGCTCGCGGCCAGGGCCCACCGGTCGAATGCGACCGACCAGGGCATGAGCGACAGCCCTCGCGAGGCGGCGGCTCCGCCCAGAATGCGCGCGCCGAAAGAGCGCGCCTTCTTTGTTCGCGTCCGCGCCGTCCTGACCGCCGCGCTTCTCCACCGCCCAGTGCGGCAGCCACTTCTTCAAATCGCTGTAAATGAACGGTCTCGCGATCCCCTTCGCTTGGGCCGCTTTGACCTGCGCCACTCCGAAGCGCCGCGCGCGAACGCTGAGCGATGCACCGCGCGCGCGTGGGCGCCCGGCTGTCGAGCCAGTCGCACGACGCCGGCGACGGCCAGCAAGCAGACGGCAAATCGTTGAGGCGGATGCCGCCCACCTTCGCGCCGATGTCGACGTGCGCGGCCGCAGTCGGCTTGCGCACGAATGCGTCCACTAGCGTAGCGACAGGGTCATTCGACCCCCGCGCCGCCCCGTCGTCGCCGCGGGCGGCGGCCATGCGCCCCGCCTGGGCCCTGGCGGCGTTCTCTGCGGCACGCTTGACGGCGCGGTCGAGGAAGGCTACCTTCCCACCGTTGAGGCCGCCCTTGTCGAACGAACTCTCATGAATGTTGAGCCCGACTAGGTCTTGTTCAACCTGGCACGCGCTGTGCGCGACAGACGGACCGAGAAAGCGCGTGGCGCTCGCCGTGACAGAACTCGCGTGAAGTGCTGCAATGACGTCGCGGAAGCATTCCTCGTCGCGCTTTGCGTGCGCGTCGACGCCAGACAGAAAAGCTTGCAAATCCGCCATGGGTGCGAGCGGGCGCCGCCTGTTAACGCGCATGACGCGCTCGCGCGCACTCTGTCCGCGCTCGGCTGCAGCTCGCGCACCGAAGCCGACCACGTACACGCGGGCCTCGTTTGGCCACCTAAATGACGCACGCTAAGCGTGCACGGAGGGGGCGTAGACGTCGAATCGCGTCGGAACAGCCCCCGCTCGGAAGTGCGCTCGCGCGCCACACGTGCGGCGTAGACGTCGACTTGCGTCTTAATCTGACCTCCTTCGGTCGGTCGCTCGCTATCCTCGTTCGGATGCGGCGTAGACATCGACTTGCGTCCAATCGGACCTAGTTCGGTCGTTCGCTCGCTATCCTCGTTCGGATGCGGCGTAGACGTCGAATTGCGTCTTGGTTTGACCTCGTTCGGTCGTTCGCTCGCTATCCTCGTTCGGATGCGGCGTAGACGTCGAATTGCGTCTGATCGGACCTTGTTCGGTCGTTCGCTCGCTATCCTCGTTCGGATGCGGCGTAGACGTCGAATTGCGTCCTAATTTGACCTCTTTCGGTCGTTCGCTCGCTATCCTCGTTCGGATGCGGCGTAGACGTCGAATTGCGTCTAATCGGACCTAGTTCGGTCGTGCGCTTGCTAACGTCGGACGGCTGCGGCGTAGACGTCGAATTGCGTCTAATTTGACCACGTTCGGTCGTTCGCACGCGGCCCGCGCTCGGATGCGGCGCTGGCGTCGAATCGCGCCTGCAACGACCTCGTTAGGCCGAAACGCAGACTGGACCTAAACTAGGTCCCGTAGTCACTAGCAGAGTAACGGGAAGTCGTCCTGGCATCTTTTCGAGCCCGGCAGAACGACGAGGGAATCGGTACCTGCGGGGGGAGAGGAGAGGGGGGAAGGAACCTGACAACGGCGGAGGCACCGCGCGCGGGAAGAAGGGGGAGGGAACCTGCACGAGGGGCAGGGGGGCAGCGCGGCGAAGACCGGCGCGCGCGCGCGCGGAAGCAGCAAGCAGGGGCAGGCGGCGGCGCAAGGCGAAGCGGCACGCAACGAGCAGGCAGGCGGCGGCAAGCAGCACCGCAGGGCAACGCAGCACGCAGCGAGCAGGCGAGCGGCGGCAAGCGGCAGCGACGAGCAGGCGGCGGCGCGCGGGGCGACGGCCAACGCGCGCGGTCGCGCGCGCCCCGCGCTCAAATCCCGAGCGCGGGGCGCGCGCCCCAGGCACGCACAAACCTGTGGTACCTGCGCGCGGCCGCGGCGGGCAGCGGCCGCGCGCGGGGGCGCGCGGGCCTGCCCACATCGCCTGCGGCGCGCCGCGGCGCGCGCGAGCCAAGCGGCGGCGCGGCGACTGCTCGCGCCTGCGTCCGCCGCGTGCGCCTGGGGCCAGCGAATGTGCGCGATGGAACCAGGGGCCGAACTCGCTCCATACAAACAAGCGGATCGAAAAGACCAGGCCCGACGGACGAGGCAAAAAAGAACCTCGGAGTGATAACTGCGCGCGAATGGAACGTGCGAGAAGGGCGAAATCGAGTTCATCTAAGCCCGGGGTCCGAGGTTGTGGGCGAGGCGGCGTTCGGCGTAGCGTCGGTGATGCGGACGCAAAGGCCGCGTGCGCACCGCGGGATCAGCCGGGGGCCACCGCTCGCCCTCGCCGCCATGCTGCTGGCGGCGAAGCCCGGCCGCAACCGCGCGAAGAACGGCGGGAGGCGCTCCTCCCGGCCGTCGAGGCCGACTCCCGAGTCCACGCCGGCGCCCTCCCTGGCACGGACAAAATCGACGTCCATGTGCAGTGCGGCTCGCCGCGTGCTCGCCTCCACCTCTGACGGGAGGGCGTCGCTGCACTTAACCCCCCTCCAGTCGAAGGATGCGTGCGGCCTCCCGAACGCCGTATCCGAGGCCGCCGCGGCCTGGGAGGTCTCCCGCCGTTGGTTGGCGGCGACCCAGCGCGCCGCCTGCACGAAACCTTGCAGGATGTCCGGCAACGGCGTCACTGCCCCCCCACAGGGACGGGAGGGGGTCCCCACCTCTTCGCGAGGCGCGCCAGCGAAGGTCGAACGTGGCGGCCAGCGCGGCGGCGCGAGGGCGTTGGGTGGCATTGTTACCCAGCCCGAGCCCCCAGACCGCGCCCTGCGGCCGAGGGACGCCAGGCTGTCGCCGCCGCTCCTGAGGCGGCCCGCAGGCGCGGAGGCACCTGCCGGCAGCGCCCAATCGGGCTCCTCCAGGGGGTAAACACCACCCGCGGGCCTCCGGGACTGGCGGAGGGCCAGATGGAGGCTATCAAAACACTTGGGGGAACCGACTTTAAATAAAAACCGAACAAATGTTTGTTTTTCCGAGTTTCCCAGCTCACGCTTAAGAGAACTTCCTCCATGTGTTCCGAGCAGCGCTGCGCGATAAAAGAGCTTTACGAGGCTCCCGGCGGTAACCTGGTTGACGGTTTACCCAGACCAAATCCTCCGGGTCAGTCCCATCGAGCCCCGCTGGCACGAAACAGCGGAGCCACGAACAGGCCCTACCACTCCGGGAGCCAGCGCGCGATCGTGATCGTCTCGCCGGCCGCCTCCGCACTGCCACCCCGGTGCCGCGGACGCCACCTCCAGCAGCGGGCCGGCCTCGCGGGTCGGCGAGAGCTGGCCGGGGAGAGACTGTGCGGTGTGGGCCGCGGCCGCCGGCGACAGTTCTGATGCTGCGGCACTCTCCGCTCGCGGTCCCTTTGACGAACGAACAACACACACCCATACCCATAGGGGGGTCCTTGCGAGGAGGACTGGCGATGGGTATGGGTGCGGGTTGTCTGACCCTGGGGAAGCTCCCGTTCGAGCGGGGACCCCCGTCCGACAACACGCACCCATAGCCCTCTCCGACCCCCCTATGGGCATGGGTGTGTGTTGTCGGTTCGTCACCCCTGGCGCCAGCGCCGCTGCCGGTGGGAGGAGCGAGGGGCCCCGCCAGGCGCTGGAACGCCGCTCGCGTGCGGGGAGCCCGGGAGCCCCGCTGACGGCGCGAACCCCTCCCTGCAGAGCCGCAGCAGCATCGCGGGCAGGGCGCATGCCAGCCAGCGGCGGTGTGGAAGACGCGAGCGCCCCAGGAGGTGCGGAGCTCGGCACGCGCGCTCGACGCCGAGGCGTCGGATGGCCAATGCCATCACTTCCAAGAAAGCCCACATGACCCAGGAACAGGCAATGAGCGTACGGCTCCCAAGAGCAGGCATTCTCAGAACCTGTGTGTAGCTGTGTCGGTGTGCACTTTCGAGGCTCAGCGATTATGTGGCCCAGCTGAACTTGATGAGAGTGATCTTCCAGACGAGCTGAGCTGCTTTTACAAGCCCTCGACCACTTAGGCTGCTACTGGCACCGAGGATGAACATGTCCTCGACTTTTCTAAACTTTACAGGGCTCGGCCCCGTCCCGACTCTCAGGGATACCCGATCTTATAGGACCCCAAAGCCCACCTCTTCCTCGGTCGACTCTGTGTCTGAGCCTCCTGACGCTTCCCTGTTCAGGCACATGGAGGTCGTTGATCCTAACTCGGAGGCAGGCATCCTTCGGGCTCTTGAGGCCTCTGGAGACCCCTGGGTTCTCTACCCTCCTCATCCTGCTCCTCCTCCGCCTGCCTCCTCCTACCGCTCGTGTCGACCTCACCCCAGAACTGCTCCAGGCCATCCATCCGGCGGCGGCAGTAGGCACGCTTCGGAAGGCGCTTCGACGAGCTGTGCCCGCTGCAGAACCGTTCAGCCGCTGCCCTCCCAAGGCGGACGCTTGCCCGCAGGGTATGAGGGGGTCGCCCTGCCTTTCTCTCATGCTTCGCAGCGATGCTGCATGATGCTTGGTTCCCTTGCGGCTGCTGTTCTACAGGTCGTCGACGAGGCTCCACTCATCAGAAGGTCATGAGGCCTCCCTTTCCCTGCTCTTCTTCCTCCTCCCCTCCTCCTCCTCCTCGTCCTCCTCCTCCTCCTACCCAATCCGCTTCTTCCTCCTCCTCCTCCTTTGCCTGCCGAAAGGCCGTGCTTTGCTGGCGGCGCCTCTTCTTGGCCAGCGCCGCGAGCGCACGATCGCGCGAGCGCGCGCGCGCGCGTGCCGCGGGCGACGGAGGCGTTCGTGCACTCGGCGTTGGCAAAGCGCCCCTCAGGGGGCCGGGCAGGGCAGTCCGGCCTGAGGGGCTGGGGCTGCGCAGCGGGATCAGCTACACGCAAGAGTGACCCTGGGTAAGAGTAACCTTTGGTGCGCGGCTTTTGGGGGGCCGCGGGGCCAAATCCAATCGCAAAATACGCTACTGTCGCTCCGCGCTCGGCGATCGGGGGGCCCCAATGGGCCCGCACCAAAGGTCACTCCGGCGAAAGGTCACTCTTACGTCCAATCGACGGGAGGAGGGCGTGGACGAGCCTACAGTCGGGCTGCTGAAATAAGGAGCACTCAATCAGGAACGAAGCCCCTGTGGCTTCAAACAAGCCTGGGTGCACGAGAAGGGCTAGAGGAACAACCACGGAATGACGTAAGGAACGTCGAGCCCCTTCCGGATCCAAACTATTCCTTATTTCAGCGTCTTGGCTGTACTGGAGGCAAGCATGGCAACTATTTCCGAACACAAACGATGCTCCATATGTTTTGTATTGCTGAACGGACGCGCTATCGGAATGCAGCAGTTCAGGGCAAACACTTCGCTGAAGACATACAACTTGGTCCCTCAGCGAGAAGCACGCGTTTGCCCTCATATTTGACACAACCGTCCTGTGGTGTTGGTCCTCCTTTCGAAGAGCCAGCGCCGCGCTCCTCCTCCTTCCTCCCCATCCACACCGCTCACACGTTTCGTGGCCACATGGGATGCTCCACCGAAGGCCCCAGTTGCCGCGGTCCCTCTGCGTCTCCCAATTCATTTCGGAACACTCCCTCGCACGTGTCCTGGCCTCACAGGGAGCTCCACCGAAGGACTCAGTGGCAGGGTCTGCATGCCACCAGCGCGCCCAATTCGGTACATCCCTCAAAGATTTCGCGGCCCCTTAGGGAGCTCCACCGAAGGACCCAGTGGCAGGGTTCGCATACGTCCCCCGCCGATTTCGGCGCACCCCTCTCACGTCTCGCGGCCCCACAGGGAGCTTCACCGAAGGCCCTAATGGCAGGGTTCGCATGCGTCTCTCAGCCTATTTAGGCACACCCTTTCACACTTTTCGCGTCCCTAGATAGAGCCTCACCGAAGGCCCAATGGCAAAGTTCGCATGCGTCTCCAAACCAATATCGGTACACCCCTCACACGTTCCGTGGCCCCACAAGGAGCTCCACTGGTTCTCATGCGTCCCCCAGTCCATGTCGGAACACTCCTTGCACGTTTCGTGGCCTCACAAGGAGCTCCACCGAAAGTCCCAATGGCAATGTTCGCATACGGCCCCCCAGTCCATTACGGCACACTCCTCACACCTGTCGTGGCCCCATCGGGAGATCAACCGAAGGCTCCTGTGGCACACATCGCATGTGTAATTACACCCGCTCCTTTCGTTGCACTCCTCCCACGTTTCGCGGCCCCACAAAGGGGGCTCCACCGAAGGCCCTTACGGCATGGTTCGCATGCGTCCGCCAACAGAGTTCGGTGCCTCCCTCACGCATTTCGTGCCCCACAAAGTTTTCTACCGAAGGCTCCTGTGGCAAACGCCTACTAGCCGATTCCGGCACATTCCTCACGCGTTTCGTGGTCCCATCGGGAGATCCACCGAATGCTCCTGTGGCACACCCCTCACACCCTTCCTGGGCCCACAGGGAGCTCGGCCTTCTGTCGTCCCACCTGCTTTGCGGCACTCACACTTGCACATGGTTGTGTTTTTTTTCGCCAGGATGTGCAGTGGCGTTTAAGTTATTTTCGTTCGATGGGCCGAAGATCCGAGGTCCCCTTCCTGGGGGTGGCATTGTGCACCAGATCTAAATTTTGATCGCCCAGGGGCCTGGAAGCGACACCCCAAGGCCGAAAGGAAAGCAACCCGCCCGGACTCAAACTACCGTACCTTCGGAGATCTGAAAGGAGGCGGATGCTGAGGATGAGGATGAAAATGCTGATGTTGCTGATGAGGAGGATGATGATGATGATGTTGTTGATGGTGAAGATGAAGAGTACGACAAGGATGATGATGATGATGAGGAGGAGGAGGAGGGGGAGGAACTGAACCGTGAGCGGGCAGATGGGTGGCGGGGGAGAAGGAGGAGGGAGGAGGAGGAGGAGGTGGGGGAGGAGGAGGAGGAGGAGGAGGAGAAGGAGGAGGATGGGGAGGGGGAGGAGGAGGAGGAGGAGGAGGAGGAGGAGGAGGAGGAGGGGGATCTATGTAAGTAGAGTGGCAACAGGGGCGGCTACGAAGAAAGATCATGAGGATGACTGTTGTGATAGGGCCGGTGATGGTGATGGCGATGATGATGTTGATTGTGGTGGTGGTGATGCCGCCGGTGCCGCTGCTGCTGCTGGTGATGATGCTGATGGGGAGGAGGAGAAAGAAGAGGAGGATGAGCGGGAATATGGGGAAGGAGGATGAGGAGGAGAAGGATGAGGAGGAGGAGGAGTTTGTTTTTCCACCGCAGGGCGCACACCGATAATCCTTATCCATAGTCCGTGAACTGTGAGGGCCACGCAGCGGCAGGCCAGGCCTGCCAAAGTCGAGGTCCGTGCAGGAGGGGGGAGCAGCAGCAGCAGAGGAGCAGCGAAAGAGGAGAGAGAGGACAGGGTACGTGAGGCCAGCGCACTGCGAGATGCCGCTCGTCGGCGACTCGCGGGAGGTACCGTGGTACCTCGCGCGCGGGGAGGGGCGGGGCAGTCCCGCCCGCTACCGATCCTCCCGCGCGAGAGTCCTCGGCAGCGGGGGGGCGCACTCGGCGACGGGGGAGGACAGAGTCCATGCCCCACAAGCCTCGGGCGCTTGCGACCCAAGCCACCGTCACCCCGACCCGCAACCCAGGCCCGAACACACACCTAGACAAAATTGAGAGGCGGGCACCCTTCCTCCCAGAGAGGCGCAACGGGCACAGTTGAACAGGTCGTGCAAGCGACAGGAAAGGCAGAGGGAACACAAAGAGGAGCACTAGAACAAACGCGCGGGAGATGGAAGGGAGCGGTCACACTCAGACGACATCACTTCACGTGGCAGCCCGCCCAATACGCCGTGCCCTGAACTGTCGTGCGACACCAGTATACCGACGAGCTAGAAGACGCAATCGAGAAACGAAGACCTGGGACGAGGGGACCTGAGTCTGGCGCCGATGGCGAGCATGAGTCTTCAGGAAGGCATCGAGGAAGGCAGCACAGGCAACGTCGCGGTCGAGCCCCCAAGAAGGCCCCATCAGACATAGACATGTAAGCCATGTATCTCGGTGCTGCCACATCTCCCTCCACGGCGCGGGTAAGGCTTCCAACCCTGGGAGACGGTGCAGTGCAAGGTCACGGAAACGATCGCGCAGATTTTGTAGTGGAGTAGGTCATCAGGGGCCGCACAACCAAAGCAGCACCCACGGTCATTCGCATGAAAGCGCGCCGAAGTACACGCGCCCCTGGACAGTGCGCGGAGAACGTTGGTAGCGAGATGAGTGCACGTGGCACGCTCCACGGCGCGCAATCTAGTCCGCAGACGGAACATATCCTCGAGGGAGGCTGCAACTAACCACCGCGATGCCCGCACACCCAGACACAATAAGGGAGTGGCAGTCATACGAACCGAACGTAAGTGCCGATGGACCTTGGCCTGGATAGAACGGGCAGTTCGATCAATGGGGGAGTTCACAAGGTCCGCCGCATCCCCATTCGTCGTGCGTATCATCGAATGGCACCACCACCCAGAAAACATACGAGCAGGGATAAATTCATCATCAGTCAAGCCACCCGCTAAGCCCTCTAACTCATATAGAGCATAGTCTCACGCCTTGCACCGCATCACCACCCGAAATTTCGTAGCTTTATCATACAGCCCCAGGTCCACGAACTCAAGGGAGATCCCCAGGTCACGTAGCTGAGTGAGCATAATGTAATTCAACGCATGCCGAGGCCCCGCGGTAAGGGTCTGCAAAGCTTCCCTATACTGACGCCGAACCAAAAGGGTGACCCTCACCAGCTGAACCCGATACTGCAAGACGGAGAGGCAATTAGAGTGGAACAGACGGATAGTGGTCGCCAAGCCCAGCGAGAGAGAGCGAAGAAGACGAACTCGCTGCCAGAACTTATTCCTCGTTTCCACCCAGGCCACCTCATGGGCCGACGGGCCCACCCAGAATCCGAGGTACAAAACTCTGGTAGCGAAACGGACAGAGGCAAAACGGCGACCTTTTCCGTGCCATGTGGGCAGCGAGGGTATCCCCATCCAGCGCCCCGCAGATCAGGACGAAACATTTCCCCGCATTCAAAGAGAGACCAATCGCGGGCGAGAGCAAGTCGAGAAGCAGCAAGGTGGGCATGAGATCGATGAGAATGTCACGTAGTCCGAAACAGCAGTCATCAGCGTACGCCAATTGGACACCAACCCGTTCGACACGGCGGGCGCGGATCCAGCGCAGTACAAGGTCCTCATGAGATCCCACCCGCGCCGAAGAGCCACCAGCCTCCGTCTCTTCTTGGCCCTAACCTCCTCCACCTGGTTACTATGATCCAACTCCTCCAACCCCGCATCAAACCAACGTCCCTTCAAGGTCAGTGCCACACTGTGGAGGCCATCAGGATCAATGCACACGCCGCTGTCGACGTCGAAGAAAGGCAAGAGAGAGGCGTAGCAACGAATGGCACGAAGACAGAGATACCGCTGCCGACCCCGCCATCCACGGTATGCCATGAAAGCAAAGTGGAGCCGCTCCGCATCGTTGTCCGCTGGGCGACACTTAAGGGACTTCTTAAATTCCACAGCAGCCGCACCGAAAACTTCTTTCGCCCGTGCGAGTTTCTGGGCGGGGTCCGACGGGGGCGTCAGCCCCCGCAGCTGTTCGGAAACCATCATGTGATAGTCGGCATGCTGGCTGATCCATTTCGGAACCGAGAACCGACCCCATCGGGGTCGGGAGGGAGACCGCGGCAGCGACGGGAATGTGATCGGAGGAGGCCCCCGGCTGCATGAGGGCGCCGACAGCGTTGACAACAACGGTCATCCCATTGAGAATACCTGCAAGAAGGGTCGTATAAATCCGATCTAATCTGGCCAATC